ACCCGCAGCCTTGACAGGCCCGTTGGCCGAGCCAGCGGCCGACCGCCCGGCCAGAGCAGGCCAGCAGTCCGGCGAGACCGGTTCAGACCGGTTCAGACCGGTTGGATCGGTTCAGACCATATTTTCATGTTTTTAGTCTCGGTTCATATTCAAGTCTCATTTTAAGTTAAAATTCCAGGTCAGTTCAGTTCAGTAAATTTATATCAATTCAGTTCCGTATTTAACCGATTTGAGTTATACTGATTAAATCCAAATATCATGTCAAGTCCAGTAGAGCATCTTAACAAATTAAACAGATATTTTTATCAGCCTGAGCATAGTACTTAGTAATTGTTTATATTATATTTCAGTTTGATCAGGCATCAGATATCAGCACTGCCTTTCATTTTCAAAGGATCAGGTGGGGACTCAGGCTGGGTATTACATTGATTATAATTACGCTACCATGTTTGAGGTATGTATTATCAGTATCCGCTCGGAATGGTCGCCGGTCCATTCTGGGTTCTAGTGGCCTTAATCTGCCCACTAGAGTGTGCACATGGTGTCTTGCATTTTTATGCTGGCAGATGTTCAGTTATTAGTCAGGTGATATTTATCACGAGATCAGTAACAGATTATTCAGTACCGATATCAGTATCAGTTTCAGTTTCAGTTCAGTATCAGTTCAGTTATATATGTCAGGATCATGATATTGTTATTATTTTCACTGTTTACTTTAGTATGAGTTTTTGCGGAGCACAGTGGATTAGTGCTCACGCCCCCACATTATTCATGTTTTTTTTTCAGGTCTAGGGTCAGGGCCGAGGAGTGAGATGGCGAACGGTTCAGGACATTTGTATATACGTGTATATATTTTTTTGGCTACACTGTGGTTTCCGCTACTGCAGTTTTCCAAACCAGCTTTTAATCTGACTCTAGTCGGGTACTATGTTTTATAACCGTTTGTTATTAAATTAAAAATAACGATTTTCAGATAAAGTCAGATTTTATGGTAGCACTCCGAATCAGATTTTACGGTTTTCTTGAGCTTCTTTCAGGAGCTCAAGAAGAGGTTAACTTCAGCACCGGTGTTGACTATTCCCGATCCTTCACGGAGTTTCACCATTTTTAGTGATGCTTCGAGACAGGGTTTGGGATGCGTACTCATGCAGGATGGCCAGGTCGTTGCTTATGCTTCACGTCAGCTCAAGCCACACGAACAGAACTATCCGACGCACGATTTGGAGTTAGCTGCAGTTGTTCATGCTCTCAAGATTTGGCGACATTATCTATGCGGCGGTCGATGCAAGATTTTCACAGATCATAAGAGCTTGCAGTATATTTTCACTCAGAAGGAGCTCAACATGAGGCAGCGCCGTTGGCTAGAGCTCGTCAAGGATTACAATTGCTCGATTCAGTATCATCTGGGAAAGGCAAACGTCGTTGCTGATGCCCTAAGCCGTAAGGTGAGGGGTGACTTGACGTACGTCGTTACTCAGCAGAACTGTTTGATTCAGGAATTCGCCCAGATGCAGATTCAGGTAGTTGATGCACTTCCCACAACCATTTCGGGGAGTGTCAGTTCCATGCAGATTCAGCCGACGCTGAGAGAGAGAATCCGGCGGGAGGAGGCTTCTGACGAGTTCGTTCGTGTCATGGATGCCAAAGTCCGCGCCAGAGGCGTCAAGGGTTTTTAGCGAGGTACCGATGGTGCCTTAGAGTTCTGTGGCAAAATTGTAGTGCCAAAAGTCGAGGCGTTGCAGAAGGAGATATTGACAGAGGCTCATACTGCACCCTATCTAGCCCATCCCAGAAGCACGAAGATGTATCATGACCTGAAAGGGTCGTTCTGGTGGCGAGGGATGAAGAAGGACGTTGCCGACTTTGTGAGGAGATGTTTTACCTGTCAGCAAGTCAAATCCGAACATAAGAGTCCGATAGGCCTCCTGCAACCACTATCGATTCTGAAGTGGAAGTGGGAGGAAGTCACGATGGATTTTGTCACGGGGTTACCAAGGTCGTCTAAACATCATGATGCTATTTGGGTCGTGGTCGACAGATTGGCTAAGGTTGCTCATTTCTTACCAGTTTCGATGAAGATGTCTTTGGATAAGTTGGCTGAGATTTATACCCGTGGGATCATTCGACTCCATGGAGTGCCTGTTACTATCGTGTCAGACAGAGATCCCAGATTCGTCAGTAGATTCTGGCAGAGTTTAGACGAGGCGATGGGTACGAAGCTCGAGTTAAGTTCAGGCCCTCTTTATTGGGACGACGTCAGCGAGCATCGAGTACTCGGTCCGAAGATGATCGAACAGACAACAAATCAGGTCGAATTGATCCGACAGAGACTCAAGACAGCTCAGAGTCGACAGAAATCCTCAGCCGATCAGCATCGACGAGATATTTAGTTCGAGGTTAGCGAGCCAGCTTTTCTCAGAGTTCGTCCATTACACGGAGTTGTTCGATTCAGGAAGAGAGGGAAGCTGCACCCTCGATTCATTGGCCCGTTCGAAGTTCTCGAGCGAGTGGGCGAAGTTGCGTATCGATTAGCCTTACCTCCCGAGCTATCCAGTATTCATAACGTTTTTCATGCATCCATGTTGCGTAAGTACGTGTGCGACCCCGATCATGTCATTCCTCATACTGATATTCAGATTCAGCCAGATCTATCTTACGAGGAGCGACCGGTAGATGTACTGGACCGTCAGGTTCGTCGGCTCCA